CTCAAAAACCTATAGCTAATAAATCCATTTGATTGAGCTATTCTCCTTCTAGGTATCTTCCTGAAAGCAAGACAATATGCTACCATAATACATGTATACCCATGTTTATAGCAGCACAACTCATGAGAGCCAAAGCTTGGAATCATCCTATATGTCTGTTATGGTTTGTGTCTAGATGTCCCCCAAGCTTGGAATCATCCTATATGTCTGTTATGGTTTGTGTCTAGATGTCCCCCTAAGGCCTCATGCAGTCAAGGGGTGGGCTTCTAGAGTTTATGATTGACTCATGGTCCAATACTGGGATTATGGGTGTGAGTGCTACACACACCCTGGGGCGGGTAACTTGCATACAATATACGGGAGGGAAAGAGGCTTGCTTGCTGCTGCTCCTCCCTTTTGGCTCTTGTTGCTTTTGCTGTTTTCGGCCACCATGAACTGGGACTTGGACTTTTCAGCAATGCTGAAAATGTTAGGACTTTGGCAATGCTTAGAGATGGACTATATAACTTTTGCCTAAAGGGATATACATGAGTCTTTGGGGGCGGGCATGGGCAGAATATTATGGTTCTAAAGTAGTATAATGTTGATAGACTGAATACTGGTTCTTAAGGATTGTTAAATCTGTGTTACAATGTTCAAGTCGTAAAATGTTGAGAATAAGCATGTCGTTCTATAAGGAAACCAATTTAAAGAAATGTGGTAGCCAAGTTGACAAGGGGTGGATCAGACGCCAGTTATGGGGTTATTAATATCCCTTAGTTATTGCAGGCTGATAAGGTCTGCAATCTCCTGAATAAGTGTATGGCAAAGGCTAAATAAAAAGAGGCAAATAGAAAGACTTCAGAGCTCATGGAGGATCAAAGGTCTCTCATAGAATTTGAAATTTTTTCTGGGCTAAGACCAAGACCTCCTCTGGGTGGTCCATATTTATTTGGTTACCAGAAGAAGGGACGGGAGTACTCAAGAAGGGCAGAATCACTCAAGGACCTCTCCAAGTAAGACATTAAATTAATCCTTAATAAGGATTAAGTTAATACACCCAGGAGTGAGATGTCTGAGAGTATGGTCTTTATCTAGTTGAGATAAATCCAGGTGTCCTTGGATGTGATCTTATCTTATCCTTTGAGGCTTTCTGGCTTCATCTGCCCCTTACAGGATTTAGTAGGGATTAATGACCCACAGAGGTTCACTTACTTTGAGTTCGCTGCCCATTTCCAGACAAGGAGTGTAGGCCTTGGACAGATTCACAAGTCAACATGAAAAGCCAACTGATTAATTTAAGTACTGCTCAGGACTGCTTTATTGTGTTAATTTGAGAAATTTAGACAGTTATCTAAAATAATAGAGTTAGTTAAAAATAAAGAGAAATTTATTTCTCACAATTCTGGAGGCTGGGAATTCTAAGACCAAGTCAAGTAGCACATTTGGTTTCTGGTAAAAACCCATTTCCTGGCTTATAGACAACAGTTTCTTATTGTATCAGCATATGTTGGAAGGCACTAGCCAGCTGTCTGGTGTTTCTTTTACAAGACCACTTATTATAATCATGAACTGACCACTTCCCCAAATCCTCATGTACTAATATCATTGCCTGAGAGGTTAGGATTTCAACATATGGACATGAGGGGGACACAGAAATTTAGAACACGCTAGTGACAATGTAAGTTGTGATCAAAATATAGGGTAAATGTTTATTCTTTAAAAAATTGAGTACAATAAAAGACATATTATGGTTTTTCTTTACAAGGTGTGATAAAATTTATGATGAATGAATACTGCCACCAAATACCATCCAACATAAAGGCAGGTACATAAACACTGGTGCGTCCTCACTCACCTTACCTGCTGAATCTAATCTGGCACTGTTTCACTTCTGACTCTATCCCAAAATGATCATGAAAGTTAAATATTTTGATTCGATTCAGGACTTCGAGGTACCTAAGCAACACAATTTAAGAATCTCACAAAAGAGGATTTCTAGAACTACTTCAGAGCAAGAACTATGGAACAAGTGTTCTCAAATTGAAGGGAGTATTTGTAGGGGAGATTACTAGCATTGTGCCTTTCACTGTAATAATTTTATAAAAAAATATTAAACATTCACTGCAATTTTCAAACATATCTTACATGATCATCTACAAAGAAAATTGTAAGGAGTCAGTATATGGAATATTATAATGAATAATGAACCTCAGAAAGGTAGTATAGGCAAAATCAAGAACTTTGTCACACAAAAGAGGTGACTCATTGGAACATGTAATAGAAAATAACTCATTCACAACACCAGCAGCATCCAAAACTTACCTTAAAAGAATCCTCACAGAAATGGATGAGACTGTTATGAAGGCTACTAAAAAAATGTACTGGTAGAATCAGATAAACTGAGCTCCAAATGAGCAAAGTAATAATCACATTCATTGATGGGTTTGAACAATTTCTGGCCATTTCATCATATACTTTGTACAATTTCCTTCTTACTGATGGACCCCACATTATAGTAAAGTAATGTGGCGTGCATTATACTAGAGATGTCAATTCTTAGTTATACATTTAGTACCTTACCTATAGCCACAAAATAATAATCAAGCTTGGGCCCACAAAATCCCATCTTCTACTCTTAATATCAAATCTGGAAAACCAGAGGTGTTTGAAAGAAAAAATCTACAATACTTAGCAACAAAATGTGAGAAACAACCGGTTATGGTGGAGCACATTTGTAATCCCAGCGCTCAGGAGGCTGAGGCAAGAGGAACACTGCAAATTCAAGGCTAGCCTGGCCTGCAAAGTGAGTTCAAGGCCAGCTTGAACAACACAGAGAGATTCTGTCTCAAAAAAAGTAAAAGAGAACATGAGAAAACTTTAGGGGAGAATGAATGCTGTGTTGAATGGGTAATTGTACCTGGGGTGAGGGAATTTTGGGTTTGAGTGAAGTTGGAAAGGGTCCATTGCTGGCTATGCAAGGGGGGCAGTGACAGGATAGCAGGAGTAAAGTTTTACAATATCTGCACTGGCTTCATTGCATAATTCTTTTTTTTTTGTTTTGGAGACAGGGTCTCACTATGCAGTTCAGGCTGGACTTGGGCTCACTTTGTAGCCCAGGCTGGTCTCGAACTTGCAGTGATCCTCCTGCCTCAGCCTCCCAAGTGCTGAGATTACAGGTGTGAGCCACCATGCCCCGCTCGTTGCACAATTCTAAAGCAGTCTCTCAGACCAGACTTGACATATCCTTATGGTAATTCCAGTGCAAAAAATGAATTGATTGATACAGCATGACTCCAGAGGCTTTGGTAGTAACCACTGAAAGCATTTTACTGCATGAGAGCTGGTCTTTTATATTTAAAGAATTACTTTAACACAGTATAATAGACTCAAAATGGAATAGTGTGCAGCATAATGAATCATGCATATTCAGGATAGGTATTCTTTCATGATATACATGTATGTATGATTGACACCTATGTGGTAGAGATGAATAATATTTTTCTCACTATGAATGAGTTACAAAAATGAATATCACTCCACTGAATAATGTAATACTATATAAGCTTTCAAAAAGCAGGAGTTTCTAAAATCACCATGCTTGCCACTTCTGTTCAAAAAAATAAATATTTCAGAACAAAAAATTTCCAAAGTCTAAGTCTGATTAAAGAGACCCTTTTCTGTTCTGCTCCTTGAAACCCAAAACCAACCTCAGCAAGAGTTTTGGTTGTGCAAATGCTCAGAGATGGTAGAAAAGGATAATTTTTTTTTTTTTTTTTTTTTTTTTTTTTTTTTTTTTGGTTATTCTCCGGTACCGGGAACCGAACTCACGACCTTGCGCTTGCCAGGCAGGTGCTTTTGCCGCTGAGCTAAATCCCCAGCCCCAGAAAAAGATAATTTTCCAGGGTACAATTAATCGAGAAGCTAGAATGCAAGGTAAAGCCCCTCAAGAGTGTGGGCTGAGAGGTCCATCCATCCTAGGGCAGATGGTATCCCATAATATCACATTCTACTGTTTCTGTCAGTTCTGGGAGACACCAGGAAGAGATCTCAGGCTGAGTAGTTCCTCTCATTTCTAGTTTGGAAATCTCAGAGAGGTGCAGGCCTTAGTACGAAGGTGACAGTCATGGACCACCAGAGGGAGGAGTCCAGGCTCTTACAGTTGTGAAAGTGAGGACCTGAGGGAAGACTAAGACCTCACATTCCAGACAAATGGAGCTAACATTTCTTGGTTATACCTGGAAGTGCCTAGGGTATGGTCAAAAGACAGGACAGGTCACTATTTGCCAGATACTAAGAGAGAGAACCAGATATTAAGGTGAGAACCTTAAGCAGGTTTTGAACAGATCTCCTCTTAGATATGGGAGGACCGATAGAATTCAGTCCTTTACCTCTTTTCATCCCTGGGAGGCTGTGGAGCTGAGGGGACTGGATGCGAGATTCCTTGACTTCCCCATAGGGCACAAAAGGAGCTTGGATTCAGGTCAGGAGAGAGGAGGGGACTTAGGATTTGGCATAAATCACAGGGAGGACATCATGGAAAAGAGATGGGAACTGCCCTCTTCAGAAAAGGAAGACTCCCAGAAAAATGCTCTCACTATTAACCAGCAAGGGGAGGTCCCAGGCAGGATAGTCCTGCAGGAGTGCCCTCCCACAGTTGCTTTTCAGAGACACTCAAGGAAAGAGGCCCTTGGTCAAAAGGACAGATAATCTGGTCAGCAAAAGGGATTGGTGCAGCCCTTTTTAGGATTAAATGTAAATACCCAGGAAAGGACTGAGAACACGCGTACCATCTGAAGCAAAGGACAGGACTCAGCTCCTCTTTGCCTTGATTGACAACCTTGGCAATTTCCACGATGTAGAGAGTTTAGGGGACGAAACATTTCCACTTAGGAAATCTCCAGAATGAGAGGGGGCTATTCTGAGACCAGTGCACTTAGGTTCAGAGGGGGAGCGTGCCCAGGTAGTGGTGGGAACCAATGCCAGGACAAAGTCAGGACTGAGTTTTCTACTCCACACAGATTGGAGCCTCCCTATCAACCTTCATGCATGCAGTGGTCCTTGGAGCTAGTCAAGCCAAGTTCTTGGACATGATGTGGCTAGACTCTCATCTGGCGATACTGAGGGCTGTGGCTTCAGACCAGCAGAAGGAGGAGTGCTATGAATAGCCAATCAAACTGCAGAGGCCACAGAGTCTCGCCTTACACCAGTAGGGGGCACTACCTCTGTTTACCTCAACACTTGCCCCACGAGCTCCAAGAAGGGTCACCATTTGCGCAGTCTGTCTTGTTCCTTCACTAAGGTGAGCAAAGTAAGTCTTTCTGTGAGGGATGTGGACACAGGTAAGCAAAGGAGGAATCTCTGTTTTTTTTTTTTTTTTTTTTTTTTGTGGTACCGGGGATCGAAGAAATCTTAGGTATAAGTAGCCATGAAGAGGAGGACATAAGGAAGTGGACTGGGTTGACAACCCACCATAATTTTATATATATATATATATATATATATATACAACGCAAACCCTATGAGCCATCTTCATCAGCTCTGGGAAATGCGACAGAGGTCCTGCTGGGGGCTGCAGGGTTCCCCCTTGTGGTGGTTTCCTACTTTACATTCTATACCAGGAGTCTAAGGGGTGGGGCTTCAGACCCACGGAAGGAGGAGTCCTGGGACTAGGCAATCAGACTGCACAGGCCCACAGAACCTCTCTGGGCGCAGTAGGGGGCACCATCTCTGTCTATCTGAAAAGTTGCCACGGGACTCCAGGAAGGGTCACGGCTTTCTTTGCTCCACTGAGCAAAGAAGTCATTTTGTGAGGGATGTGAACATGGGTCAGCAAGGGAGGAATCTGATGCGTACATAGCCGTGAAGAGAAGGACATGAGGAAGCAGACTGGGTTCACATCCCACCACAGTTATACATATGTATATATATTTATGTATATAACCCGAGCCCTAGGAGCCCTCTTCAACAGCTCTAGGAAATGTCAGGAAGAGGTCCAGCAGGGGTCTGGCGGGGTTCCTGCTTGTGGTGTTTTCCTACTTTACATTCCACACCACGAGTCTGAGGGGTATGGCTTCAGACCCGCGGAGGGAGAAGTCCTAGGACTAGTCAATCAAACTGCAGAGGTGGGAGAGCCTCTCCATGCTGCAGTAGGGGTCGCCATCTCTTGTCTATCTCAAAGTTGGTGCTGGAGCTCCAGGAAGAGCCACGGCTTGTGCACTTTGTCTAGTTCCTTCACTCCAGTGAGCAAAGTAAGTCTTTTTGTGAGGGATGTGGACACGGGTCAACAAGGAAGGAATCTGACGCGTAGGTAGCGGTGAAGAGGAGGACGTATGGAAGCACAGTGGGTTCACATCCCACCACAGTTATACATATGTATATATATTTATATATATAACCCTAACCCTAGGAGCCCTCTTCAACAGCTTTAGGAAATGTCAGGCAGAGGTCCCACAGGGGTCTCGCAGGGTTCCCGCTTGTGGTGCTTTCCTACTTTACGTTCTATTCCAAGAGTGTAAGGGGTGTGGCTTCAGACTCATGGAGGGAGGAGGACTGGGACTACCCATTTAAACTGCGCAGGTCTACAGAGCCTCTCCGAGCTGCAGTAGGGGGCACCATCTCTCTACCTCAAAAGTTGCCGCGCTAGCTCCAGGAAGGGTCGCCGCTTGCGCAGTTTGTCTAGTTCCTTCACTCCGGTGAGCAAAGTAAGTGTTTTGTGAGGGATGTGGACACGGGTAAGCAAGGGGGGAATCTCAGGCATATGTATTCATGAAGAGGAAGACGTAAGGAAGTGGAGAAAGTTCACATCCCACCACAGTAACCCTACAAGCTCTCTTCATCTGCTATGGGAAATGCCTGACAGGGGTCCTGCAGGGGGCCGGCAGGGTTCCCGCTTGTGCTGTTTTCCTACTTTACATGCTATACCAGGAGTCTGAGGGGTGCGGCTTCAGACCCACGGAGGGAGAGATCCTGGGACTAGCCAATCAGACTGCACAGGCCAGAGAGCCCCTCCGAGCTGCAGTAGGGGGCACCATCTCTGAATACCTCAAAAATTGCTGCGCGAGCTCTAGGAAGGGTAGCAGCTTGGGCAGTTTTTCCAGTTCCTTCACTCCAGTGAGCAAAGTAAGTCTTTGGTGAGGGATGTGGACAGGGGTCAGCAAGGGAGAAGTCTTAGGTGTCAGTAGCAGTGAAGAGGTGGAGGTAAGGAAGCGCAGTGGGTTCAAATCCTACCACCGTTATGTATATATATATATCCCTACCCCTATGAACCCTCTTCATGCGCCCAGGGAAAGGCCAAGCAGAGGTCCCGCAGGGTTCCGGCAGGGTTCCTGCTTGCGGTGTTTTCCTATGTTACTTTCTATACCAGGAGTCTCAGGGGTGTGGTTTCAGACGCACTGAGGGAGGAGTCCTAGGACTAGTCAATCAAACTGCATGGGCGGGAGAGCCTCTCCGTGCTGCAGTAGGGGTCGCCATTTCTGTGTATCTCCAAAGTTGGTGCGGGAGCTCCAGGCAGGGCCGCGGCTTGTGCAGTTTGTCTAGTTCATCCA